TAAATATTCAATACAATATGCATGCATTAAATGTTATATTTAAAATGTATAATATTATATAGTGCACATTGCATAAAGTATATGCACGTACTGTATTATCATATGAAATTAAAGCAAAATAGACGTAAGAAAAATTAGCTTCTGAAAATTTTTAATACCATAATATCTTCTTTTTCAAATTTTTAATTTCCAGTTAATACTTCTTTCTCTAAAATACAATAATATTAATTCTATTCGTTACCAACATAACAAATAAACATTAATTAAAGAGTATTAAAAGATTCATCAGCTCTACAGTCACTAAAAGTACATTTCAACAGTAATAATATCTCTGACCAATTAAAATTATCACGTCGCAGGAAGTTACTATACCATAAATCCTATTTTCGGTCAAAATTTTCATAAACGACATTTCAAAGGAATACAGACACCTAAAAAGGGAGAGAGAGGAAGAAGAGTGGAGATTCTCTTGACAATCGAATCTCATTTTTAATGGGGTGACGTAATTGAAACGGGAGACTTCACCGTGTGTGCCGTGTTTTTCAAAAAAACCGGCTGTTTTCCTTTTCATCCCGCTTCCTTTCCACTGAATTTCCTCGTGTCCCAAGTGTGTTTACCCGAGCTGAACTTCAGATATTCCATTATGACGGCTATGCTCCGAGGCAAATGTAAAAATGCGTTCTGCTTCACGGCTGTTTCTCCTTTTCCCTTCCTCGATTCGACCTGGAATCTCGCAAGTTGCTCTGTGGATCGTTCGACAGATTTTTCTCCTTCCTCCACTTTTCATTCTCCTTTTCTATTTTTCAACGTTGGTGGGAGAAATTATTGCCTTAAGGATTGGTGGAGCGATTTCTTATTCCTTTTAATAACCTAGGGGTAGTTTTCAAGGGAATTGTGGAGTGTCAGGATATATACTCGATTGCTGGGATATGAAGCGAGTGTCATAGAGAATCTCAGATAAAATTGGGAACAGAGAGATGTTTAATGCCGAGATAGGTGAAGATGGGTGAGGAAATTAAGAAAAATTCAGGTGAAACGTGGAAAGGGATGACTTTGTTAATGATGAATTTTGATATACGATTGAGAAGGTTTCATGGTTTTATATTGGTTATAGGAATTTTTATACTAATGTAGTATCGCAAGTTTTCCACTGCCTGTAAACGTAGCTTTACGAAGTTCACCGAGGGTTCGAAGGCCAGGTCAGTTGGAAAAACCCTGGGCGATGCGTTAGGCCCTTAGCACGATCATATTTGGTCATGTTGGGGGAAGCATTGAAAAATGCGTGCAAGGTATACGTGGTGGGAAGAAGAACATTAAAGGACAAGGGCGTTCTAAGTCAGAGGAGAGTTGTCGAAAGAGAGTTGTCGATTAGAGTTGTTGTCAAGTTGAAAGTGTGGATTTGGTTTTATTAGTGTGAATGCAAGTGTGTGAGGTCGAGTAATGGCACGAATGTAGATATGTATGTTTTTAGAAGTGCGAGTGGAAGATCTGGAATACGTGGTGTTGTACTGTTGCTATGGATCAGGGTCAATATGTTATAAGAAAGTTTCATTTTGTTATAAGAAGCGTGAGAGTGAACAATTACGATATAAGACGTGTGCAATTTATAATTTTATAATAAATATACGATTGTTTTACAACAAACTCACAATAAGTTGTCGATTAGAGAGTTGCTAAGTCATTGGAGAATTGTCAAGTTGAGAGTTGTCGATAGTAATAATTGTGAGTTAGTAGTAATAGTAGAGTTATAGTAATAGTAATAATTGTGAGTTGTAATAGGGGAGTTGCTGCAGAAGTGTGGGTTTAGCGTTGTGATAAGTTGTAACAATTCGTATCTTTATCGTTACTCGTATACTCTAACACTGTTATTTTATTATTAAATAACAATATATATACCACTATCACCAATTCTCCTCTACATAGTTGTCGAGTTGTGAATAGCAGAGTTGTCGAGATGGTGTTGTCAATAGCAGAGTTGTTGTTGTCGAGTTGAGAGTTGTCGAAGTTATTTACCAGTGTAGTTATTGCTAATAATTGTGAGTTGCTAACAATTGTCAATTGTAATAGGAGAGTTGCTGCAGAAGTGTAGGTTGAGTGTTGTGATAAGTTGCAATAATTCGTACCTTTATCGTTATTCATATACTCTATCACTGTTATTTTATTATTAAATAAAAATACATATACAACCATCACCAATTCCCCTCTGCACTAATTATAGATTAATATCTGATAAAAAATATAGTCTCTGTATGTAATGCGATTTTTAGATATTGCACTATTCAACACGAATATTAATCTGTAATATCCATTGTGCAATTTTTGTAGAGTTTACTTTCCTAAAAACAAATCGGTATTCTAAATTTCTTTGTTATCATCAGTTTTCGAAAATTTCGAGTTTTTTAAAGTCGCATGATTTTTTGATATAATGAAGTACTCCATAGAAAGTTGCGACTTCTGGTGACTGATAAGGCGGTGTGTGTGACATGTGGAGGCAGATAACTCGAATTTTTTTTATCGATTTAATTTAAAATTATTTACATTTATATTTTTCCAGATTTAATAATTTGTACGTTATTCGTTCCCGTGATTCATACTTAATGAATTTTCTTTATGCAACGTGAAAAATTCGACGAACTTACTACTTCTTCGTTTTCAAGGATTCTGTAAGGAGATCTACGAGAAAGTTAATTTTTCACGAATTTCTTATTCCTTTTTAAAAAGTGTCCCTGGTTCTTGATTTTCAAGAAGCTTAAAGCGAGAGAGAATGTCCTGTTTCGAGGGAAAAATATATAATAGAATACTTAAAGGTGGAGTAAGAGAGAATGAAAAAGTGTCCTTTGAGACATTTTAACGAGAAATCGATATCTCTTAAGGCACTTTTACCAACCAAGTGCAATTAATTATTTATCACTTTCAGAAAAACGCCGTCTGCCGGAGTTTGCTAAGAAAGGAATTAACAGTTTTCTTTTCTCTTAAGTTAACATTGCCTGAACTATATATTGCAAAGTGTATTTTCCACGGATCCTGAAATATTACAGAAAGGATAGATTGATCCTTTTATTCCTTGTATTACTAAAGGAACCTGTATGCTGGAAATATAAATTAAATACTAATTTCTAAATAAATAGAATTTTGAATAAATTTTCCGTTATTTTTCACATAATTTATAATAAAAATTCTTAAACTATTATATTTTAATAAATATTAAATGATCACTTTGTCCTACGCATAATTACATATTTTAAATTATATTTTTATGTAATTAAAGAAATGGGATATTTTAAATTTTAGAAAAATTTTATTTTTAAGAAATACGCTTTAATAAATATTAATTATTCTTTGATTCGTTACGTAATCTGCATTTAAAATATAAGTTGAATGTTAAATTACAAATAAATTGAATTTTTAAAGTATTTTAGTTTATTGCACGAATATTTGACAATAAATATTAATAATAATAATAAATATTGGTGTTAAAAATAATATAATAATATAATAATTTTACTAAATACTAAATAAAATATTAACGTCAATAATAACACATTTTATTGAGTATTGTAAATAATACAAATAACAAAATTAATTATGTAAAATAAAATTTCCAGGAAATTTTTATTTATGTGATAAATATATGTTTTTAAAGAGCTAAACTTGAGATTAATTTTGAAATAAATTTTAAGTTGATTAATACAGACACGTGCTGCATGCACATAATCTGATACTCAATTCGAAATGGAACACAACGAACGTTACAGAATTTCGAATGAATAATAATTTATGCAATACAAACATCTCCTCTAATTACGTTCCCCATTAGTAATCTATTAATTCTACAATTAATCATTGCACTTCCATTAACTCAATCATCATAAACAATTCTGAAACCTCTTCACATGATACATTATCATAATTTCAACGTTTCATAAACGTTCCGTCACTATTGCGAATTTTACCTCATTTCCCCTATTTTCCTCTCTTTTTCCATTATTTTCACCTTGTCTCGTAATTTTTGTTCAATTTTTTTCATATCAAGACAATACGATCGTTTCTTCTAAAAATACATCATCTAAGAGACGATGCAATCGGAATGTTGACATTTCATTGCCTTGCAAAGTAGTTTTTATTGTTCCTAGCAAATATTTAAGTTATATCCATGGCCAGGGGGTGTTTCTCGTGGAAATTAAGTAACATCGACGGAGAATACGCGAGAATTCAATTATAGAGATAATTTTGTATTAATATTTGGATTTCTCGGTGCGACGACCTCACCGTGTCTCTCGGATTTCAAAGTGTATCGTTTTGAATGTTATGATTGACAAAATTAAAATCGTGCATTATAAACGAGAAATATATATATATTTTCTTTTACAGTATGTTCTGTAATAAAATCTGAAAATGTTTTAAATTCGAGAATATTTCAGCGCGAGTAATATTTCGGAAATTATATTCTTGATGGAATAAGTATTTACTGGATAGGTAAAATTTATTTCCCTTTTAAGAATTTTAAAAAAATTTTCTTCTGATTTTCACAGAAAATAGGTGAAATAAAATAAATTTTATTTTAACTCTTTGTAATTATTTTACTATCTTCATGTTACATAATTTTGTTTGAGATATTAATTAGTAATATATTATTATATGAAATTCACTATTAAAGAATTAATAATGTTCAAATATTTTTATTGTTATATTTATTATCATGGATATTACAATTACTATAAAAATATGGGTTAAATATTATAATTTACATTTGTTCAAATTGCTTTCAGCAAAGTAAAATTCTCTTCATTACAATTTCTATTATTTCGTTATTTTGATTCTGCACATTTTTATTTATTTCTAATATTCAATATAATTTTCATTTTATAGTAATGGAATAAAATAATAATTTCTGAAATATAGGCCCTATAAAAATGATTATAATGGAATTATTTGTGAAAAATGCAATCTTTAAAATGTAGAGATGGTTTTAATTGTATGGCGACCATTTTGTGTTTCAGGCGTTCTTGGAAATGGCGGATGAAAATGCTGCAGCGACAATGGTAAATTACTATGCCACGTGCATGGCTCAGCTACGTGGTAGAGCAGTGTATGTTCAATTCAGCAACCATCGCGAGCTCAAAACGGATCAAACGCACACCAACAATGCGGTGAGTACTTTACACATTTTTTGGTACAAATACTTAATACGAGTGTCAGTTATTTACATTTGAAATTTGTATTTCTACCGAGAATAGACAAATCGTTGTTGATATTAAATAGACTAATAATTGAAATGAAACTTTATTATAAATACAATATTCTTTGCAGTGATTGTACCTTAATTTAACAATTCATTAATTATAAAAAAATGTCATGACATGAATTTTTCAACGTCTTTCAATTTTTCTATTGTTAGGCTATTCAGGAAATTATTCTTCAAAGTGATTGTTTACTTACATACCAAAAATAATCTACCTGTCTTCCAAAATTATTTAACTCGTTCATAAATATGATAGTATTTTCATAGACTCCTTGTTTACGCCAATGATCGATCATGTAACTTTAAAATGAATAAATGAGAAACTGAATTTAATTATGTTATCGAGTAGTATAAAGAAACAAATTAAACGCATTAAAAACTTAATATTCATTTATATAAATGTATATATTTTATAATAAATTAATAAATAGGATTTTCCTCTCTTATTTATGTAAAAAAATTAGCTCACCACGATATTAGTCGAAAATGTCAATATAATTGAATTTTTTAGTCAAATTCTATTGAATTGTAATGGCTATAATAACTCAATAGGATTTTTCTCTCTTATTTATGTAAAAAAATTAGCTCACCACGATATTAGTCGAAAATGTCAATATAATTGAATTTTTCAGTCAAATTCTATTGAATTGTAATGGCTATAACAAAGTAAATAAATAATTAAATAAATATACGTATATATCTATCACACGTTTGAATTAAACGAGAAATAATATTAATGTTTCCCGAATACTAATAAGCGACACTAAATTCTCGAAATATGCTGAAAATAATTTTCGTCGCTTCAAAACCTGGCTCGCGGCATCAAAAATAATCTACAAGTGATAAAACACTTGCCTCCAAAAAATGGAGAAAGTAGAAATAAGCATAACCAGCGCGTGTCAGTGCAAGATTCAAAGAAAACCCCGTCTTTCCACGCGCTTTTCTCTCGAACCGTCCAAGAAGCGTATTCAGCGCTATCTCCCGGCCGAAATTGGTATTAAAAGCGCGGAGAGAGCCCGTCTGAAAAACATACGGCCCGGCACGGTGCTCCGGTCTCCTTCGGCTAAGAGCCGGCTGTTTGCAGCGCGTGTCGACTGAATATGTGAAAACCGGGCACGCAGTAATTTGCAGTCGACGAAGAAAGCGCTCTTTGGATCTCTGCCGTCCCGTATATTCACTTATTCCAAAGGCAGTTCGCGCAATTACTTTTTAACGAGTAGTCGCGATATTTCCGGGATTTTCGCCCTTGCTTCCGTGGACAAAGTACACGTTTCCGCTGGAAATTAGAGGATTCTAAACCAAGTTTCTCCACTTTTCTTTTCATTTTTTCTGCTTATTTCTTCTCTTTTTTTTATTATTCATCTTCCATGTTATTTGTTGGTCGGGTTGTTTGAATTCGAACGGAATACTTTCCTGTGGTTTTATTGTTGGAATTATTCTAATTGTTTTTAGTGTATTTTAGTGTGGATTATTAAAGTTGAAAAATTCTTTCGTTTTTTTCTTATTCTATTCTTATTTTTGTATTGCAGTAGAATTTTCTATTTTTTAATGGGACATTGAAAACATTATCCCATTTAAGGAATCATTAACGACTTTAAAATTTTGACTCGAGGAAAAGAAATTTTTATTTATTTTCGATTTAATTTCGATTTGAAAGAAGAGAAAATTTGTTCTGCTGTTATATTTGCCTAATGGAACTGTGCAACCCTTTTCTCACAACATATCTTCGTGTCGTCAGAAATAGCAGAGATGTTAGGTATGCTGTAGATGAAAGCACTTCATTCAAAAATCGATGAAATACATTATTATCCAATTCGAATTAAGCATTTTCACCGTAATCGTTATTAAATCTCAAGTGGAGTTAATCTAGTCAGAAAATATCAGAACGTCGTGTCTGTTTCGGTTTTGATAATATTCAAACTGTTTGTGGCCGCGTTCATGCTTCGATTATCGATATCTTCGCCAGTGTATCTCCCCGGAAGCGCATAATCGAAGCTTTATGCGACAATGTCGGGCCAGAATCCACTCTCAAAGGCTATGAACGCGTTTTCGAGATTCTGATTGCCCTTCATCTTCTCTCTCTCCCTTACCCCCTTTCTCTCTCTCTCTCTCTGTTGCACCTTCGTCCAACGATATTATTCGATGAACGTGATTAATTAATCTGTTCTATTCGTACGATGTGTGCATACACGTTGTTAAAAAGATTGAGAATTTTACGTGGTCGCGAGATTTACAGTGGTAGTAAAAAGGAATTTATGGTGGTTGGGAAATTGGTTGGTTTTCGCGATAAATTTTGATCTCAGTCTATTCCGATATCTCGCTCTGCTTTTTCTTTTCTTTACGACGGATAATTATTGGGAGGTTCTTATAAATCTTGATCTAGCTCCTAGGGTGACTGTGATCTTTTTGGTGTCTTTGGTTTGTTGTTTGAAGAGTGAAAGGGATTTTTTATTGCAATTGTGAAATTTAGAATTTTGTAGAATTTTCTATGAAATTTGGAGGATTTTTGCAGTCTTTCTTATATTATTAGAGTTGTATATGACATCTAGTTATCATACTAAATAATAGAATTTTGTTATTTTGAGAACTTTATTAGTAATAGTATTATTATTAGTAGAATTTTATTTGTAACAGTAATTCAAATATTTTTCGAGGGATATTATGTTAGAATAATTTAGTTAATTTTACGAGATTTATTTCTTTTCTTGTTTTTGGGGGAAGAATGTAAAATATCCTTAATAATTGGCAAGGACAGGAAATACTTGTTATTATTTTATTTTAAATGAGTTTAATAAACCTGGTATTGAAATGAAAATGACTAAATACAGTATATTAACAAGAAAAGAGAAGGTAGATATTAATCTGTGAACTATAAATATTCTTAAGCAATTCTAAATTCTTAATAAACTGCTGAAATAATTTAAAATTGTAAATAAATTATTCAAAATATTCACTGTATATGATATTTAAAAAGAAATAATGAATTATGTTACTCTTCAAAATAGTGGCAGTCTATAAATTAAAAACACTCTGAAATAATTCCAAATTCAGAATAATTCACACAGAAACCAACCCAATCAACTCTATCAAGGCAAGTCGATTAATTTTCAGGTTGTAAAAATCATAGTTATTGAACTCGCTTCATGTCACAAGTAATCACAATATATCAGCAGAAAATAATTCTTTTAGTCTACGAATTATTTCTTTGAAATTTCTGAAATATCAAAATCATATTGGCGAAACACGTGAGCAAGACACTCAAAATTGTGGTCGAAATAACAGCGTACAAAGCTTCATCAACGAACGTGGAGTCAATAAACAGTTCGCTCCGGAAACTCCATTATAATTAACGCGTCCATAATTTATGAACAATCCCCTGGGCAACGAAGTCCATCTTGCTGATCCTGTCTTCGCTCTGTTCTCAGTTCACCTGACACTGTCCGTCATGTGAGTTGTCTTTGCTGGTGTTTAGATGTCTCTTGCACGTGTCCACCTCTCCCTTTCTCACCCTATACAACTGTCATCCCTCTGCGTGACATATTGTGGCTACGAGACCTTCGTTGTTCGGCGCATTGGACGAGGAAAAATATTTCTTTGGCAAAATGCAAAATTCTGATGAACTTTTCATCTATTCCATTGTTTCGCGAAATTTTATTTTAACCCTTTGCACTCGAGAGGCAACTCTCAGTCACCAATTATTCAGATTCTAAAGATCGTTATTAATTAATATATCGAATTTAAAATTGCCCAACGACACGTGGAATTTCGAGGAGAAATTATTCTACGTCTTATTGTTAATTTTGAAAATGTCATCGACTTTATGGCAGAAAGTCTTCGAATTACTATGTTTCTGTAACGAAAAGATCGTCGAGTGCAATCGGTTAATAGCCCAGTGGAACTCTCAAAGAGACGTATGTATATATATACACTTCATTAGTTTATATGGAAGATTGTTTGACAAGGTTTGGACGAAGTTATGTAAGTTATTATTAAATAATTTTTAATTATTTTCGAATTACTATTTATTTTGATTTTGGATTCTAATTGTATTTTTGAAATTACGTTTGTCTTAGATTTGCACTTGTTTGAAATGAGTTCGACTAGTTTCAGTGATCTGTAATTAAACATGTGCATAAGATAATAATTAATTCTTGTCGTTATATATTTATATATAATATTTATTTGCAATATGTTGTTATATAAATATTTCTCAGTAACAATTAACGAATTTTAAATTAGAACAACGAATCGAATTATTTCACAACTTCGTTGTCCCAGATAGAAATTTCAAAACACGTTGATAATTAATTGGAATACTAACAACACAGTGTTTCAGTGATTTGAATTATTGAGTATCTCTGAATAAAGCAAATCAACAACTACCCTATTATTCTATCAATAATTCCCAGTCACACTGCTGAATTCGAAAATAACTATCCGTGATACTACACTGCGCGATGAATTTTTCCATCAAATCCTTAAACCAAAAAATTGATAGCGAAAATCAAAGGAAGAAACTAAATATAAAAGATAAAAAGATGACGTTCGACTCGTTAAATGGAAACCAAACTTGGCTGTTTTTCTCCGGTTCTTCTGTCAGTCGTTTCTTTCTTTTGATTTGTTAAAGGTAATAAAATTCCCTCTTCAACTGCTCTTGAATTCTCCGGTTCAAACAGTGGGTCGTGTCAATTGTACTTTCCTACCAGCTCGATTTACCTGCACGCGCACGTTTTCTCGGAAAAAACAAATCCACTTGCTACATACGAAAGCCTGGCAGTTCCACTGTTTCCCGCCATTTTGTTTCGTTGCTATTACAAATTTTATATTTCTCAACGATGCTTCCGCGATCTCGTTGTGTAATTTTTAAAGTTCGTCGACCCGAGTTTCCGCTGGAAATTGACGAATAAT